ATATCTGCTTCTGCGACAAAAGTAAAACTTACAAAAATTTAGATTCATTTCTTGCTCGTCGGCAGAAGACAAAACTAGAAAAGTTGTTATCAAAATTAAATACAAAAAATACACTTTTCGTATTAGCGAGGCGGCTTTCTCTCAAGCGAACTCTGGGGAGTCGCGCACTCCACAGCTTCTGAGGGTTGCGGTCTGGACAAAAGGACGACGCATCAACCTGTTCGCCGAACTCAGTAGCAGCGACTTTTGACCCGCAGCCGCTGAACTCGAGGAAAGGGCATCTGCACTGCATCGTTTACGCCACCCGTTCGACCAGTAACCCTTTCTCCACGGTGGGGAACAACCGCCTTTGTTACAACTCAGGCGTGCGCGATGCTTTCCCTCGTGGTTGCCTCTACGCAGCACCAAAATCGATGAGACCAGGCGAAGATCTCGGCGTCCGAATTTTCCTGAAAGTCGGTTTTTCTTGACGCGCTTCCCGCCTAATGTCGATCCTCGTGATGGTCTGAGCTTCAAACATTTCCCAGAGGGCCCTGTCGCGATCCTACGCCTAGCCGTGAACATGGCGTCTCGACGAATGATGTCATGGCACCTAACAGCAGTTTAACACTCTTTGCGCCCGTCGTCTTTACCACGTTACGCTACGCCGACGCCTCTTTCTGTCGGGACTTCTCGCAATACTGGCAGCCTCGACACACTTACTTCCAAGTGTGCTGCCTTTGACAAGTACTCCCGAAGCTCCACACTGGTTATCTAGCTTATCCTCGGGCCCGTTGCTTGCTGCCTCTGCTTGGTACAGAACGGGAGTCCCGATGCCTTTAAAAGCAACTAACGCACCTAAAGAGCTTTTGATCAGTGGGGGTTTATCGCTGTCGTGGTTAGCCCTTGTTCTCTGCCCTTCGAAGTCAGCCTCGTGCTCTCTTTTAAGAGCTTTATTCTGTAGCGCTTTATCTCGCGCATCCTGCTCAATATTCTGTCGACAGGCGTCAACCTGTAGCGCCTTACGACTCGACTTGTCAAACTCTTTTTGATGCGATGCATCTGGATCATGTGTGCTGTGAAGAAGGCTCCGTCTCTAGCGCTTCGCGATGCGCCTCGGCGTCCTTAGCCGTGCGATGGGCCTCGGCCCCTAACTCCTCGCGGTGCACCTCAGCGTCACGCTCTCTCTGGCGCACTTCGGCGGCTTGTGCTTCGCGACGGGCCTCAGCCTCCATAGCTTTTCGGCATGCCTTATCTTTACGCGCTTCTCGATGCGCTTCTAGTTCTAGCGCTCTTCGGCGAGCCTCGTTTTCACGCGCCTCCAACTCCATCGCCTTACGCCGCGCCTCATCTCGCTCTCTCTGACGCACGTTGGCGTCCTGCGATTTGCGATGGGTCTCAATTTCTAGCGCTTTGCTGCGCGCTTCAGCGCTGTACTTGTATGCTCGACTTTCACAGTCGGCCGTACTCATAGCAGCAAAGTGGCGGAACAAAGCGTATTTAACCCTATCAAAGTCATGCGCTTCCTCGGCGGATAAGCGCTCCAAAAGGCTTGCGACTTTGCACGGAAGCAACGTGGCAAGCTTCTCCGACCATAAGTCTCGCCCAACACCAATATCGTCGCAGACCCTTTCAAAACTAACGAGAAAAGACACGATGTTCTCGTTCATTCTGAAAGGCCTGAGTCGGTATTGTGCTCGCTGCCACTTAATCGCTTCAATTTTATGATCAAGCTCTTCCATTCTGAGAGCATGCTCTCTCCTTTTTCTGCTCTCCTCGGCCTTCCATTGTTCGCGCCTTTGAGCTTCTTCGGCCTTCCGCTGTTCCTCACAGATGAGCTCCCAAAACTCGTCAGCTTCCTCAGCCGTCACATTCTCTGCCCGCATCACCTCGAGAATCGCTTCCCTTGTTTTAGCGGACCCGGTGGAAATCCCCATGGCTCGACAAATTTCGAGAAGGTCCTGCACCAGGTACTGCTCCATCGCGATCTCGTTTCTCGTGATGCTCTGCTATTGATATTCACCGTACTCTAAAGCTAATCTCATGGTTTAGAGCACGTGAATAATAAATTACAACCAATCAAACACAAAATGCTCTCCTAACATCTATGCCTGTGCTTAGAGAGGTCTGGCGAAATGAACAGTAAACGTTGGGCACTCACCCAACCAAAGTAGCCGACAATGGTCCAACTCGTGGCTGCCGTCGAACAGTGTCAGGCCTTCAGGGATCCGGTCCAACTTGCCAATGTTGAGATCCGGGGTTGCTTGTCCCAGCTTGCCGAACGATGAGAACAGGGTAGCGTACCGCAGCGTAGCCAAACGCTAATACGGCGGTCGTCCTCGTGCTCGGAGATCCGATCCAACTTTTCAGCCGTTGAGATCGGGGTAGCGGGTCCCAGAGCAGCAAAACGTTGAGGACAGGGGTCTGATCCGGCGTGCCAAACGTAGGATATCGTATCCCGAAGCTGCCAACCACTGTTATGAATTTTCTGTGTCGCGATGGTAGCGGTGGCGAAGAGCGGTGGGCCGTCGAGCGGGCTTCGCTGAAGCCTTAGCCCCAAGGTGAAACAGGGAGGCAATCCGTTTGGAAAACAGCAACAAAAGTAGCGTTTACTATCGCAGGTTGTCGTTTTACAGAGCCGGCCAGCACGACAACGTCGGCTGGGGCAAAATCCTTCTAACATGGGGCCGGCTCGGCCTTAAATAGCGTCTTTGGTCCATTCTCTAAGACCAGTTCTCGGGCTCGGAGGGGGAGACGTAGCCATACCCGGAACTGCAAAGTGGTCCGGCGGAGGAAACGACGTTATCCCCGGACTGCACGGTTCTTCTGCACGGAAGGCGGCGCTGGGAGGGGGGGAGACAGTACGTCGAAACAGGGCTCGATCCTGCGAGACGCGCTCCCGAACAAGGAACATGTCTGTGGCACAACAATGCACTGAAATCTAAGTATGCGAGCTTCAGACATTTTTGCTTCCTTTGAAAATGCTGCCACTGTAGCCGGTATTGGACCTTGCGATATTCAGGACCACACCACCGTGGTGGGTTTTTCTTGCTTTTTGGAAGAAGTACATGGTTATGATGCAACTGATTACAGCTCTATTTATGGGCTGCAGATTGAAACGGGGCTTACAGGCCTGTCTCTGAAGTGATGGTACTGGGTCCGGCAAAAAACTGCCAGGTCTGCACGGAACACGCGGCACAGTCACAGCAAAAGCTGGAAGAGCGGCCTTTCAGAGCCTTTTCTAAACACTCTTTGGGTAACCGCTACAAGCACACTTGCTGGGCACCCACTGCGCCATAAATAATAATAATTTCTGTGCAGTAGGCCAGCATTCACTATGCTATCCTTCGTCATTCTTTAGAGAAGCGTGGTATCTGTTACACACTTGCAAGGAATTTTGTGCAAATCTTTAATGCAGTGCCTGACGACGATGTGGGTATGCGCTTGAAGTGGGTTTGTGCCACAGTCAATAGATGAGCAAGAATAAGTTTTTGTAATGAGTTGGAGCGTCGGATGACCCACTCGTTACACAATTCTCATCGTGTAATGCCTATTGTTCCTTTGCTGTTTTAAAACGCTTTATTACACATACTAACTCGATTCCTTTCCCGATATCGAGCCTGCCTTAGACATGTTTGTAATGGAGTTTCTAGTACCAGCGTGGCTCTGCGGTAGAATACTGGGCTGGCACACAGAGGACCCAGGTCGTAATCCCGCTGTGTCCTTGGCATTTTTATTTAGTTTTTTTTCTTATTTCATGCTATAGTGGTTATAGACACGGGCGGTGGCAGCGGACAACTACAGCTCCGCATGTGACCCTTGTTGTGATCTCATAGTAGTTTTCACTGTAAAAATTACACCATCTCCCGCTAAAGAGAATTATGTGTAGATGCAAAGCACCAGGCGACAACGGTTACACAGGCTGCGGCGTTGACACTGGCTTTCTCATAGCATTTCACTTGAGAAACAGCTGGGGAGGTGCAAAGCGCCCAGTGATAGACCAGTGTTTCATATTGGAACATCCCAATCACTGTACTAATGGGCTATAAGAGACAAAAGACTCCAATTGGACTTGAAGACCTGCTGTCCTCGTTTAGTTAATGTGCATGCTGGGAATTTTACTTTTGCAATACAGAGAGGAAATCTCCCACCAGCATTATCTTGGAGGTCAAGATCCAGTGCCTATATATACGGGACAGCCAGCGAACGATTGTGGAGCATGAGCAGTTCAATCAAGAACTCCGCTAGCAGGCGCTGCCTACGTTGGCATTGCGAAGCGATAGAAAGGAGGGATGGGAGCATAAAAGAGGAGAGAGAGGTGCAGCAGATGTACATGCACATTAAGGTGGTCACGCTGCACACTGGATTGAGCCTGCCCATAAGAAGCTTCACATCTTAAGGAATTTGTTGATGCCATTGTTATTTAAGCTCTTCACGATAGCTTTTTTGGCATCAATACACCTTGCACACCACAATTCTCACACTGCAAAGCCTTTCTGAAAGTCAGCTGCTATGACCTTTATAGAGACTGTGACAGCTTTTTGGATGGCAGGAACACCTTTTAAACTGTGACCTTTTCAGCTCTGCGAACAGGAAGAAGTCTGCCTGTGCTCACTTTAGGGTCAGTGCAGTCCTGATGCAGTTTTGATGCAGTCCTGATGCAGTTTTGATGCAGTCCTGATGTTGTTCTAGTTCAGTCCTGATGCAGTTGTGGTACAGCTGCTTCAGGACTGTCAATGGCTGATCTAACGGCTGTGACGAGTGATGTTTGAGCTTCTTCAGTCATTGGTCAAGAGAAGAGAAAGGATTTTTTGCTGACTTTGATAATTTATTGTGAAGTAGAGACCATGTGCTGCACTATAATATTTGGATCATGTGTTCTTGAGAGCCTGTAATAGTCAATTGGCAGCGTTTTCTGGCCATGCTCAAAAGTGTTGCAAGACCTCTTTAAGCATTCAAGTAGATGTTACTAGTGTGTAGTACAAAACTAGCAACCTGGTTTTTGACATTATGTGATGCAGGCTGATGATGGCAGTGCAGCAGAGATCAAGGCACTCAAAAGCCAGCTCGAGAATCTGCAAAATAGGTAAGTAAAAAAAAAAAGCTTGAAAGGGCACTTCAATTGATCTATGTGTGTGAGATGTTGAAATGTATGTTCACTGGAGCTACTTGAAACTGACATTGCTGTGTGAAATTATGGCAGGCATAGGGTGGACATGCATAAAACAGGTTGCAGCTTAGTGAAGTAGGGATTACTGGTGGCTGTTTTTTTTCTTTTCTGGAGTCCAGTAGATTGCTACAGTAACCTGACATAGCTAAGCTCTTGGTTATGAGGTCAACATATACCGATTCACAGTTGCTGCTAAACCACAACATTTTTTCTGGGTTGAGCATGTACTTATGTGTACAGGAGCTTAAACCCTGGTAATATGTGTCCGTGGTACCTCTTGGGGCATTACAAAAGTAAACTCAAGATTATCACTTGCATCAGGCGGTCAATAGGATTGAGTTGCTAAGACAGGGTGTACTTAAAAGAAAAAAAAAAGAGACCTTGAAGTGGGCAATTTTCTACTTGCATATCTGGAAATTTAAATGGGAAGATTGGCGCAGTCTGCAGCGTTGCAGTTCAATTATGTCACGTATACGTGGACCTCATGACAGGTTGATGGCTCATAATGCTGAGAAGCGACGCAGGCTTGCGTAGGAGAGTTGTCAATTCAAATGCCATTTGATATTTGCTTTGGGAGCTTGGGGCCTTCATAACTCACTTGGCCACAGTGTGGAGTTTTGAAAGAAACCTGTCTTTACGTCTACAGGTGGCAGTGTGGCCATCTCAGTGGAAATTTTGCTAGATCTGGCAGAATTTTGATAACTTTGGCGGCAAAAATTTGTGTTTAGCGGATGGCGTATTATTAGTGAAATTGTAAAAAATTTTATTGGATAGCGTTGTTTAACGAATTTCTGCATTTGCTAGGTAAAATTTAGTTCATTTTAGTACAAGAGATTCGCAGCCAGTGGGGGCACTTATGTCTTGTCAGAAAAGCTTCGGATTTCGGCGCTGCACGCGTGAGCAGGCGATCCGAAACCATGCCGAAATCTGAGAAAGATCGCTACCTTCAGAAGTTCTGAGAAGAATGGTTTAAGGATTCGGACTTGTGCACATGGCTCATTTGCAAGAGAAAACCGGACGCAGCCAAGTATGCCCAATGTAAGTACTGCAATTGTGCACTTTCTGTTAACTACAGTGATGTGAAGGCGCACAGAACTAGCAAAAAGCATCAGAGCGCCACACCAGTACTTTGTCCTATGCAGACGCAAACCTGCTTCAAAAATAAAACTGACGACAACTCTGCTAGCGCAGCAGAAGGCAGGGCAGCATTGTTCATCGTCGAACATTGCAACATTGTCACTGCCTATCAATTAACCGAATTTATCAGGAAATCATTCTGTTTATCAGGAAATCATTCTCTGACAGCGCCACTGGCAAAGATTATCACATGAAAACGACAAAGTGTGCAGCAATCATCAAGAATGTTTTGTACCCACACTTTAAAGAGGACATCAAAGCTGACATTGGTTCCAGTAAATACGGTATCATTGTCGACGAGTCGACAGACATAGCCGTCAAAAACTATTTGGCTGTGTCAATCATCTACCACAGTGCCTCAAAGATCAGACATCGTGACAACATTCGTCTCGCTATGCGTGCTAAATGCCTGCAATGCAGACGAAATTGTGAAAACTATAAAATGTACATTAAGATAACACGACCTTAAGCTGGACAACATAGCAGGTATTGGGACTGACAATGCAACCGTCATGGTGGGGGTTAACCATGGAGTTTACAAGCAGCTCAAGGCTGATGTTTCACATCTGAGCCTGATTCAATGCGTCTGCCAGCTCGCTGCAGCTGGCGACTTCAGCTGCTGTGGCAGAAGGGCTCCAAAGAAGCCTCGATTACCTTGTTGGTGATATGTACAATTGGTTCGCCTAAGTCCTTTTCTCAGCAGAAAGCATACAAGGAACTTTTCTGTATTCTGAACGATGGAAAAGAGCCCTTGAAAATCGTCCAAGCTTGTTCCACGAGATGGCTGTCTATTGTGACAGCAGTTGAGCGTGTGCTACACCAGTGGACCGAGCTAAAAGCTCACTTTCAAGTCGCAAGACTGGCAGAAAAGTGTTACAGCGCAGAAGTTCTGTACTCCATGTATTGTGATAAGATCAACAAAGCTTACTTCGCTCATTCTGAGACAAGTGCTTACAGAGGTTCAGAGAGTTAATAAGTCTTTTGAAGCTCACTATGCAGATCAAACAAAGCTTTTGGACGATCTTGTACATCTAGTGTCATCACTCATAAAAAAAGTGGTGATTCCAACTGCATCAGTGGACGTATACGTGACGAAAGTAGAGGGCTATTTGGATCCCAAGCCATACTTGGGCTACTCATTCGAGAAGCACGTTGACGACATGAGAAAAACTAGCTTATCTGCTACATAAGGAAACGATGCACCAAGTTTATTCTTGTACTCATTGAGCAAGTACATCAATGGCTGCCGAAAACAGAAATCCTCAAAAAAGTGTCTCAACTAGCAGTCGAAAGGGGTTGTACGTGCCAAAGCCCTCGCTGGTGCCACTGTTGGAATCGATGGGTATTTCGAGTACTAAAATTGACGCCATAGAAAGCCAATGGAGAAGGATCCCAACTGTAGCGTGAAAGACACGTCAACGGCACAGTTCTGATGTGAAGTGTATAATTATCGAGACTCTTATGGGGAAAAACCCGTTCAGGGAACTAGCAGATTTTGCCATCTCCATGCTAGTACTACCATTCTCAAATGCTGAAGTTGAGCTATCGTTCAGCCAGATTAACTTGTTGAAGACAAAACTTCGAAACAGGCTCTTCCCCAACACAGTTAACGCCATCATGGTCATCAGAGCTGGGCTGAAAAGAAACAAAAAGGGGTGCTTCAACTACGAGCTGCCAGAGAAAACAATCCGCCTCATTGGAACTCGGGATGTGTACAAAGTGGGTGTGAGTAAGCCCTCATCTTCAACAGGTGCTCCACACCAGCCACAGGGTCTGCTAGGCCAAGTGGGAGACTCTAGCCCAGATTGTGATGATGATGATCTATTTACACTTTGAGACTTTTATGCTTTTGTGTCTGCGCTGAGAGACTGAGCGCCAGCAATCAGAGTGAGTTCTCCGTGAAGAAATGTGAAAATTCAGTGATATTCTGTATTCCTACAAGTGTGTTAGTAAATTACGCTCGTTTTCAGCATTTATGTGTCTGTTTTGTATTTATGCTTCTTTTAGTGTCCTACAAAATGCTCGTTAGGCTTTAGCGAATAACTTGGTGATTCGGGAAAAAAGTTTAGCGTAATTCTAGCGGATTTCATTAACCATTTTGGTGGAATTCTTGCCAACTGAGATGGCAACATTGACAAATGGCTGCTATGAAATGAAGTGCTGCTGTTGTACCCCTTCCCGTGAATTGCAGAAAGGCGCGCAGAGTGTTGCTAAATTTTCCAGTGTAGCAGTCACCCTGTTAACATACCCACTTATGCGCACAGTTGTCACGAATGGCTATGAGTTTCTGTACAGACTCGTGAAGGAAGGAGAGTAGGAGTTGAAAGGGACTTTTTCTAAAGTAAGAATAACAGAAAAAGAAATAAGATCAAATAAGAAGCATACACCTCTCGCAACTAGTAGGCACACCTTTATGATATCTCATTCATTGTTTTTGTTGTTGTTCTAGTTGTTGACTCTCACTACCGCGTTAAATGACGGCTGACAAAAGGACAGCAAGCTAAGCTATGTATTCAACCATGCTGCCCTCCCCTCTTCCTTATCTAATGACATCAAGGTAACGTAGTGACTTGCATTTTAACTAGTACTTGCTTCGTCAGAACGGTTGCATATTTTCGCAGCACTTGAATCGCGCATTGTGTTGCTGCGGTAACACTTCCTTTGGTTGCCATGCTAATACACATGCGAGACCAGCTGGTATTCTCCTAAGATGTTTAATGCGAGCTAGTCCTGAAAGGCAGGCTGTCAACATAGAGGGGAGGTTAACATAGCGGTATTAATTGTTACGTTTAGGACCGTTACATTGTCAGCAGTGTCATCCGCATACTCTGTACAGATATTCTACAGTGCCTCTCTGTTCACCTTTGTCACTCAGAGCAATGAAAACAGGTCTGTATGCCCATGCATCGGCTGTAAGACACAGCCTCAGGCATTTCGGTTTTGTTTTGTATGCTATACACAGCCTCTCACACAACATGTGGCATGTCCTGCGGGCAACTAACCCAAACAGTTTTCTTTTTGTGCATGCACTATTGCCTAGTTGAGTGTGGCAATACCATCAGTAGTGTGCAGGAAGCATGAGGGATGGTTAGGGATGCACTCAGGGGTAGAAGTAATACGCTAACAGGTGGCACTATGCCACTGTCTCTCTCTCTTTTTCCCCTTTCTCTCTGTCCCATTCTCTCTCCTTCTCTCCTTGCTTCACGTGGTAACTGAACCCTTCCACAACGGTAAGCGTGCAACCCCTCTGGAATGCCATCTGGGCTCTTGCTGCCTTTTTGCTCTTCTGCATCGCCTATATCATGCGCTGAGTGCACACTGAAAGCTATGGGCTGCGCTGCCTTGCCCAAGACCATGCGCTGTTGTGTTTTTCGGAGATCCAAAAGGCTTCCGTTTATACTCCCCTGAAGAGACATCGTGCAAAATTTTCGAAGGCCGGCCAGCTCTGCAAAGCGCTCGTGCAGTTTGCGTTCAAAACATTTTAGCACTATATGTTTAAGAGCGAACGACAAATGCTCATGCCCACTCATCCTAGTGTAGTTGCTTAGAGCAGCATCTCTTAAAGTCTAGTTTAAAAGAACCTCATTTTCCTGGAGGAGTGCTCAAACTTGTGGGCTGGCATTGCCTCAAAAGTGGAGCTACAAGTATAGTCTGTTCTTTTGGTAAAGGGAAGGTTCTGATGTATGGCTTCCAATTTGCTGGTGTTCCATCCACAAGCATGGGCTGTAACTTGGTTAATGCACTGCACAGATTGCAGAGAGCTGTCTGTTCTGCTGGCC